GCCAAAAGGGCCCCCGGACCAGTGTATTTTGTACGGAGAAGCGCGGCTCCGGGGCGCCGACAAAGCCGCTGCGCGGGGTAAAGCAGCGGCGCTGGCCGAAACAGCCGCGCTGGCGACCGTGGAGCACCTCTGCCCGGGAATTTCCTAGTCTGTGGGCAATAAAAACGCGGCGTCCACTCACCCTCTGCGCTTTCACTGGGAGCTGCGATCCTGAGCTGTTCCTAAACGGCCATCTTCGGGATTATATTATTTATAAATAAACTGAATATTAGATTTCCCTAAGGGGTATTTTTGATAACAAACACTACTCCATTCCAGATCCAGGCACACAGCCCCAAAGATACATTAAAAAAAATTCAGTCTTGGCACAGGTTGTGATGAGCTGTAACTATTGAATGAAAGTAAAATTTCCAAATATACTAAATGTAGGAAAAGCATCGCTAAATTCATAGAAGGAAAAATATGTAAGGATTTAGGAAAATAATTAATATGCTCTTTTCAACGTCATTGAAGCAGGAAGTGAAGTGGATTATGAACAATCCAGAATATTTACATAGTAAAAGCAAAAAGTTTTAGATCCACAGATTTCCTTATATTTGGGATCAAATAATGCCATGCTGATTATACAATGGTACCCAGTGCATCTCGTCGCTCAAAGGATCAACACAAGGTTCAAAGAAGTCATATCAAGTATATGTTTCTAGAAATTGTGAAATCTAATAAAGCCTGAATTCATTACAGCCTGAATGAGTTATGTAAGAAAAGTAAGAAAAAATTTATAAAACAGTTTACATTTGTTTATATTCTGGATGCAGTTCACACTTACATATTCACAACCAATACGGCGATAGGATCTTGAGGTTGTAGATGCATGCTCTGAAGCCCATCGCCCCTGTCCCCTTAACATGATTCCTCAACCAGGTTACAATAAAACTGATTTGGAAACGATTTTCATAGTTCACTAATGGCAAATCTGGTATCATTTGGATTTTAGTGCTGTTTTTAAAGACATACAGGAGCAAGACACTTCTATGGAATGAGGTGCTATAAGAAGGAAATTTGGAGCTTGAAGAAAGAAAAGAAAGGTCTCCAGAAAATATAGTCCAGGCAAGCCTGAAATTGTTTTAAAAGTAGCTAATTCTTGGCTAGGCACGGTGGGTCATGCCTGTAATTCCAGCACTTTGGGAGGCTGAGGCAGGTGAATCGCCTGAGGTCAGGAGCTGGAGACCAGCCTGGCCAACATGGTGAAACCCCATCTCTACTAAAAATACAAAAATTAGCCAGACGTGGTGGCAGGTGCCTGTAATCCCACCTACTTGGGAAGCCGAGGCAGAAGAATTACCTAAATCCAGGAGGTGGAGGTGGCAGTGAGCCAAGATCATGCCACTGCACTCCAACCTGGGCGACAGAGTAAGACTCCATCTCAAAAAAAAAAAAAAAAAAAGAGCTGATTCTTAAAAAAGGAACCTGAACTCTGCTTGTGAAATGCTCCTTGGAGTCGTAGAATAAGTGAAAGTCCTTTTTGAGACCACAAAGGCTCCAGGGAACACCACCAGGAAAGTCCAGTGTTAACCTTGGCGCCTCCCGTGAAGGAGATCCCAGTCGATAGAAAGCTCTGCACATACAATGAGTTTTGATGTCTAAACACATGTCCACTAAAAGGCAATCAGAAACAATGCTGCATGCCAAAGGTAGGAAACCTGCTTTTTTTTTTAATTTGAGATTAAAAATTGACCTGTAAACATGGAAAAGAAATTGAATTTTTGAAATCAGATATTCAAGGGGATACTGACAAATTGTCTGTGCTGGTTGTTTTTTATTATAATGCTTCTGGAGTTTATTTTAAATAATCCTTATGAAAATACACATAGAACTTACTTCGGGTGCACCCTTAGTTTATAAGCCACGATGGACCAAGAAGAGTAAGAGATCAGAAATGCCGTGTCTCTCAAGGAATGCAGCACACAGGAAGGAGAAGTCACCTACTCGCTACATACATCACTAATCAGGACTTCGATGAAATACTGTATTCACTTTGAGGTCCCATAAATAAGACATAACTTCAAAGAATGTATAGTCAGTCATTTAAGAAAAAGTATCCCTGGGAGGCTGAGGCAGAGAATTGCTTGAACGCGGGAGGCAGAGGTTGCAGTGAGCAGAGATCTTGCCACTGCACTCCAGCCTAACTTTGTAGCTATTATCCACTGTGGAAGCCTGAAGAAGAATGAAGGATACGAATTATTTTTGATGTTATTCTCTGTTCACTGAGATAAATATGAGAGGATAATTAAGTCAGTGCAACTTAAATAGTAATGGGAGAAAGAACAAGTGAGACTTGGAAACAATACACTTGGTTTAATAGTCATGAAACGCAGGGCTTTCAGTCAAAAAGCCATATTCTTCGGAGACTATTTAAGAAATAGCTTCTCAGCTGACTTCATGGATGTTTTTCATATACTTATGATTTAAAGAAGAGGATGGATGAGGTGACCTGAAGTTATTTCCAACCCTATATGACAAGTAAGGTTTAAGTAGAGGTAAAATTTATGACAAAACATTGTGGAAAATATAAACATATGCAAATGTCCAGCTGGCTGTGGTGACACTCATTAGTACATTAAATATAAAACAACATCGTGCCTTACTATTGCTGATTTATTTTAATGAGACCACTCATGGATGATACATTACCCTAGAAGGTTAAAATGGCCTGCTTTGCATGCACAATTCAATACACTTTACATTGTTTAGGGAAAATCCAACAACAGTCAATCTCAAGTAATTTTGATGTTGACATTATCGTGTAAGTGGGTACACTGCACCTGCATATTTGAAATGAAGAGGGTTTGCCAAAAGAATCAGTGGATGCTTTGAACATTGAGATTGAAAAAGATTTGAATTGTAGTGCTGCTGCTTTTTTTGAAGACTCACATGTTCAAGCCAGATCTTACCATCATTATTCATTCAACAAGTATTTGTTGATATTTAGTGTGTAGCAAACACTATTTGCAGTGCTGGAGATTCAGTGGTGAACAAACCAGAAAAAAAAAAAATCCTATTTTAGACTTATAGCTTAATTGGGAACTAGAATAATTGTGTGAGATAATATACCCAATAAATAAGTAAACTAATAACATTTTAGAATGAAGGAGATAAGAAGATTTGACAGAGCGCAGCTGGGTGGGATTGAGGTAGATGGAGTCAGAGGTTACCAGATACTATAGTTACATCTGGCCTCGACCAGAAATCAGAAAGGCTAGATTCTCACCCAACTTCTGCCACCAATCCAGCTGAATGGCCTAGAAAAAGGACATCAGTAGACCAAGCAGATCATTTGGACTACATAATCCAAAAGCTTTTTATAGCCTGTAGGAGGCAGAACGGGCCCTCTAAAGCAGGGGTCTCCAACCTTTTTGGCACCAAGGACCGGTTTCATGGAAGAAATTTTTCCACAGACCAGGAGAGGGGAAATGGTTTCAAGATGATTCAAGCATGTTGCATTTATTATGCACTTTATCTCTATTATTATTACACTGTAACATATAATGAAAAAATTATACAGCTTGCCACAGTGTCGGATCTGTGGTAGCCCTGAGCCTATTTTCCTGCAACTAGATGGTCCCCTCTGTGGGTGATAGGAGACAGTGATAGATCATCAGGCATTTGATTCTCATAAGGAATATGCAACCTAGATGCCTTGCATGTGCAGTTCACAATAGGGTTCCTGCTCCTATGAGAATCTAATGCCAGGGCTGATCTGACAGGAGGCTGAGCTCAGGCAGTAATGCTCAATCACCCGCCACCTACTGTGAGGCCAGGTTCCTTTCTTGGTTATTGTTGAGACAAGGTCTTTCTCTGTCACCCAGGCTAGAGTGCAGTGGCACAATCTCTGCTCACTGCAACCTTTGACCCCCGTGCACAAGGAGTCCTTCCACCTCAGCCTCCTGGGTAGCTGGGACCACAGGGGCATGCCACCCACCCAGCTATAAATAAAGTGGCCCAACACCATCCAGCGGTAAATAAAGCGCACAACAAATGTAAAGTCCTTTTTAGTATTGTTAGTAGAGACAGGGTTTGGCCATGTTGCCCAGGCTGATCTTGAACCCCTGAACTCAAGCGATCAGCCTGCCTTGGTCTCCCAAAGTGCTGGGATTACAGGCATGAGCCACTGTTCCTAACAGGCCAATGACCTGTCCCAGTTTTTGGCCCAAGGATTGCGGATCCCTGCTCTAAAGACTTCACGCTCTAATCCTCAAAACCTGTGAATGTATTATGTTACATGGCAGAAGGAACTTTGCAGCTCTGATGAAGGTTAAGTACCTTGAAATGAGGAGATTGCTCTGGATCACCTAATTTTATCACATGTCCTTAAAAGCAGAAAATGTTCTCTTTTGATTGCAGAAGAGCGATGCAGCAGAGAAATGCCACAGAAAGGGAAGATGGAGAGATTCGAAGTGTGAGAGGAATTCAACCTGCTGTCGCTGGAAGGATTCCCGATGGAACACATGAGAATAAACCTGTGTAGCATCTAGGAGCAAAGACTCACCCCTGGCTGACACTAGTAAGGAAATGGGGACCTCAGTGCTACAGTGTCAAAGAATTGACTTTAACCCACAGCCTGAGTGTGCTTAGAAGCAGATGCATTCACATATCTTCCAGAAGGAAATGGAGCCTCATTGACACCTTGATTTTAACCTTGTGGATCCTAAGCAGGAAATTCAGATGAGATGTCCTGTGAGATAATACATGGGTGCTGTATTAAGCTGCTAAATTTGTGGTAATTTCTTATGACAGCAATTTAAAAAATGGATAGAAAACCACTAACCCAAACCTTATAATCCCCCCTCTCTTCCATCCTTTGCAGTTTCCTACCAGCACTTCCAAGCACTCAGCAGTTCCTATCAATTTTACTTCCAAAGCATGGATTGACCCCATCTTCTCATCTGCACAGAATTCTACTGCATCTATCATCTGGACCATCTCAAACTGGTCCCTCTACCCCTATTTTGTTTTGACTCAATCTGTTCTCCAAACCATAGCCAATTATTTACTTTAAAAAATATAATCATGACATTTTTTTGCATACAAGCTTTCAGTGTTTCCACATAAGCAACAGATTCCACTTCAGCCCCACTGTAATGCAGAGACGTCCATGGCACAGATCCTATCTCCCCTCCAGCCTTTCACAGCGTGCTCTCTCTCTGCCTTATTCTTTATGTGCTTATATGGAGAATTGTAACTTCCCTTCAGTACCACTCCTAGACCCAGGCATACAGCATAGCTGTGCTGAGCTTTCAATCTTCAGAGTCCTCAGCTCTGGTGCTGCCTGGTCTTCCCACAGGTGAGGAATCTATGTAGCTAAGCAGAAATCACCTGTAGCCTAAGCTTCCTTCTTATGGACCACGCTTCAGATGTTTGGTATCCCGACTTCTCTGGACAAAGCGCCCAAAGCCCTTTCCAAAGCTGGCATGGGTTTGTTTTCTGAATTTATGCTCTGAAGGATAGCACATGCCTCTGGGCAGATGTGAGGTAGGCCGGCCAAGAGGCAAATGTTAGCAGTGTTGCCAAAAAGAAGCAGGTGGACCGTGGAACCAGGGGTAAGAAAACAGGAAGATGGTGTCAGTCTGTTTAGGGGGTCCTATCACAAAATACCAGACTGGGTGACTTGAATAATAGAAATTTCCTTCTAACAGTTCTGGAGGCTGCTAAGACCAAGATCAAGGTGCCAGCAGGTCCGGTGCCTGGTGATAACTGTCTTCCTGGTGTTGTCACATGGTGGTGTGGTTGGGGAGGTAGGCAGAACCCTACGATAAGGGTGTTAAACTCATCATGAGGGTTCCACCTTCATAACCCAATTACCTCCCAGAGACTGCATCTCCAGATAACACTATATTGAGGGTTAGAGTTTCTGCATATGAATTTTGGAGGGACTCAAACTTTCAGCCCATAGCAGTGGACCATGGGCTAAAGGCTGTCTCTCCTTACCATCACATTTCTAGCCTGGAATTCCGATAAATTCTACAATTCTGAATTAGACCCAGCCTTCCAAGATATTATGAAGGTATATTTCTCAAGGCAGGAACATAAACCTTATTTTACATAGCAGATGGTTAGCTTGATTTATATCATCTATTTAGATGTAAGATATGCTACCTCCATTTGCACTTTTACCCCAGTCTCCACAAATGGTGGGTATATGTTTTTCCCACGTACCATGTCTTCATGATGTTTCCTCCAGTGTTCCAGGCTCTTCTCACTGCCTGAAAAGGCCTGCCCACCATTCTCCACCTGGCTAACTCTCACACGTAGCTCAGGACTCAAGTTACTGGTAGCCTCCCCATGAAACCTTCAATGATTCTCCAATGCCCCCTCCCATCCTCTCTCTGCCTTAAAATGCACGTATATGAAATTATTGAAACGCTCCTACACTGTAAGACGAACAACAGAGACTATATTTTATCCATTTTCTTTCTCTACCATGGTGTCTGGTGCATGGTGTGGATTTAATTAAAGTTTATTGAACTGAATACTGAAAGCAAATGGTAAATGCTTCATTTAGAATATATTCAGCAAACATTTAAGGAATAATAGCACAAAGTGAAGAAGAAAATTACTGGGGGTGGGAGATGACAGATGTGACATATTCCTTGTTCCAGGTCATACAATAGTAATAATCATTGCCGTTTCTTGAACACTAACCATTTGCCACATGGGTTACAGTTAATCCTCCCAACTCCAAGAGGTGGAAACTATTATTATCTTCATTTTACAAATGAAGAACTGAGGCTTACAGAGTTTAAGTGATTTGCCTAAAGACTCAAAGCCAGAAAGGGCTTCAAAGCTTCTGCTTTGACTATGGGAGCATGCTGCTTCCTGACATCTACCCTGCACAGAAAAAGGGAGCTAGACACATTGTTCATTTTTTTAAAGAAGAGAAGATACAAATGGTAACTCTCAAGGGCCTGAGTAAATGTTAGTTGAAAGTTAATTGCATGTGCTTCAAAAATAAATGTGGGAACATCTGAAATGTCTAAATAACAATAAGATTGCAAAGTAAGAAGGACCATTTGGATTACAATAAGGAAACGATGATGTTCTCTGCTGACAGTGAGCTGGGGGTGTGTCCCAAAGGAAGTTGGGAGGTCTTGTCAGGAGGCCCTTGTTGCAGTCCACTGGAAAGTTCTTAACACAGGATGTGAGAAGGGAATGTATGGGGGCTGAGTTGGTCTTCAGATCCAAAATGTAATACCAACACACGTTTTACATTAAAATATTTAAAGATATAAATTGTTCTTCCCAACAGTTTTTCATTTAAAAGAGGAGTTTGTAGCGTTTCCTAAAATGTTATTTAAGGCCATTTTACATGCCAACTAACTGGACTAAATTATTATTTTTTTAAGTTGAATTCAGGAAAGCAACTCTTTTGCCGTTTGTGAAAACTACATTTAAGCCAAATAAGCAGTAAGATTGAGGCAGGAAAAAAGAAACAAAGCTCACCCACAAACTCTATTGTACAGAAAATTTCTCTATTTTCTTATGACTGAAACTTAATATTTATTTTCATTTCCTATTTGGCCAAATGGTTGGAAATTTGATCTCGGTCAATACAATGTGGTCCTACCCCCACTTTCAGCTACTCCTTCCTTTCCCCGGGATTAGGTCTAAGTTTAGGGTGGCTTACACAGTGAGGAGGCATGGGCAAAGGCCGAAAGGAGGGCTGGCATCCACACCTGCAGGTCCTGCAATGACTGTTGTGGGTCCCAGCAGCATCCCTTCTTATCCACAGCCTCAGCCTTCTTCTGCCTCCTCCACTTTTGTATCGTGTCCATCCTTCTTGGGTGCATGGCATCATTCCATTGCTTCTGTAGCCAAGGAGTAGGACTGAGAACTTGATGAGGCTGTCTGGGGCCCGTCTGCCCAGCTCTGCTTCTGCTTCCTGCCATGAAGGCTGGGGATGCTGAAGCCTCCGTCTGTCTCCAAGGGATGGGGACTCAGATCCTCTTTGCTCTTGGACCTTCCAACCGCATTCAGAGTTCTATGGTGCCCTCCCCGCCTAGGTGTTTGGCTAAGAAGAAGCAGGTCATGGCCTCCCTTCTCAGAAACCAACAAGGTCTAAATTATGCATCTGCCTTTTGAACTTCTCTTGTCTCATCCCAGATAATCTTTCTCTAGCTTGAGGCAGGAAGCCTTGCTCTTACATCAACATGCATCATTCCAAATCCCTTGTTTCATTCCAGGATCTAGGCGTATGAACACCAAAGCCAGGAATAGACTCCTTCGACTTTGCAATTTTTTCTCCCCTGTGACACCATGTATGAGAAATTCCTTGCCTTGGCTAAAGGGGCATCTATGGGGTGGAAGAAAGGGGATATAATAAAACTTATAAAACACTATGCCACTACCATAATTCAGAGAAAAGCACAAGATGGGGAACTAGGAGATTGGGAGTTTGCCATGTGATCATGTTACAGTAGGCAGCTAGTCAGACATGGGCAGGGCAGAAGAACGTCCCCCCAACCCCACCAGGAATGTCAGGTGATGGCCAGGAGGTTTTTAAACTCTCTCTCTAAAATAATAATGGGTTGCAGCCAGCGCCATGGAACGACAGTCTCCCAATAGATAGAAAGCACCTGAAGCTGGTGATCAGCGGCTTCCCAGTAAGATCTCAGGAGTTGGGCAAGTGGGCTCAAGCATGCACACTAAGAGGCGCCACTCACCCAACTGAGGCAAAATGGCTTGAGAGTTTAACTGGTATATGAACCTTCTTAAGGGAAAAATGCCTCAAAGGAGCATGCATACAGCTTCAGTAAACACACTGAGCAAGCAGCCCCTCCCAAGCACTAGCACACCACCGCACACACAGACAGCCGAAGGGAAGAATCAGGAGACAAGGAATGCAACCTCCCAGAAGCATGCCAACTTGTAAAACCCCAAGTCAAAGGTCAGCTGTGCACTTGATCTTTCAGGCTGCCCGCTTGGCTCTCTTCCAAGTATATTTTGTATTTTTCACTCTTGCTCTAAAGCTTTTTAATAAACTTTCACTCCTGCTCTAAAACTCGCCTCAGTCTCTTACTCTGCTTTACGCCCTTTGATTGAATTCTTTCTTCTGAGGAGGCAAAACTGAGGTTGCTGTAGACACGCATGGATTTGCCACCACTAGCAATCATGGGCAAGTCCTTTCCTCTCAGGGACTTGGTTTCTTCACTCCTGTCATCAGGGGTAAGAGCAGACATTTTCCATGTTCTCTTTTGGCTCTAGAAATACTGAAATACTATTTTATCTGATTTTTAAAAAAATATTTCCATCTAGCTCTGGTGCTTGTGAAACTCTGTGATCATATATTCATGGGAAGTAATGTGAGGTGCCATGATTTACTCTCTACCCATTTACAGTACATAAAAATGAGATCCTTGTAACTAGGTTCAGAACTATTTAATTGAGGCTAAGAACTAATTTTCATAGCTCAAAAAGTCATGTATGTAACGGATATGTCTCATGTCATTTAAAAGCTTTTCTCTAATATTGGTGACTTGAAATATATATAGGATTCTCATCACTCTTTTTTAATGTGTTCTAATTAGTAATACTATTTCTTATTTAATTTTTATGTATTTTTTAGTTTCCTTGTTATTAGAACTGAGGAAAAAAATTCAACAAGGTTAATGAATAGCTGATAGAGAGGTGTTTTACAAAATAATTAAGATTGTATTCTTACAACAAATTTTAAAGTAGCTTATTATCAGAAATTGTGGACTGTTTTAAATAAGGTTTTCAATTTTAAAAATAAACGACTTAGGGTAAAACTTCATCAGACAAGGTCATGTGTTCTTTTGACAATTTATCCCAAAATTCAGAGAGAAAAATACTCACTAAATAACATAATAAAAGAATAATGTCTGACTTCTAGGCCACCAAGAGAAGTAGAAATGAAGTTATAAATATCACAAAACACTCTAAATCAGTGTGGCAGAAAGTCTATTTATGTCACCTGCTGGCTCACTTGTTATTATTTTTTTCTGGCTAACATAGTTGATATGTTATATATAGCACACATGTGATAAAACACCAAGCCCATGTTTTCAGTTTTCAGAAAATATGAAGAGAAAATTCAAATGAGAATCTAATTTCAGCTTTGTTGCCAGTTACTCTTGTGACTTTGAGGAAGTTCTTTAACTCTGTACTGAGTTTTAGAAAGGTGACTTCTAAGAGTTCTGCCAGCCTTAAAATTTTTTGACTCTGTACATTCTTCCTTAGCTGTAAAATAGGGGCAATAATATTTGTACCATCTCCAGTGTTGATAAGAGTATTAAGCTCTTTTACTCAATAGAGTCTGTAATTTTGCATTTGTGTAATTATTTGCTTAATGCCTCTCACTCCAGCAGGCTGTCAGCTCCGTCGGGATAGGAAGAGTGTCTGTCTGATGTACTGTTTTATTTCTAGGACCTAGCACAGTGCCTGGCACATCACAGATCCTCAATTTATATGTCTGGGAAATGAGAAGAATCAGCCTAAGTATTCATATATAGGGCACTGAAAATCAGCAAGCCTGGACCATGCTTCCTCAGAAAATAGTTATATTTTCTGTATAACTATTTTATACAGATCCAGATGGCTGAATAGGAACATCTCTGGAGTGCAGTTCCCAGCGAGAATGCAGTGGGTAAGTAATCACCACATTTCCAAATGAGTTTTTACTGCCCACAGACCAGGAGATTCCTGGCGGAAAAGTGCCACGGGTCTCCAGCATGGCTGTTGCAGCCAGCACAGTGGATCTCCCCACAAAAACTCACACAAATCTGGGTAGCTATTTCAATTGGCACCTGGAATGCCTGGGAGACAGGGTAGACCATTCAACTGAAAAAAAGGGGGCTGAAACAGGGAGCCAGGTGATCAGGCTCAGCAGGTCCCACCCGCACAAATACCAGCAATTTGAAACGCTCTGGATTGAGAGTTTCACAGCAAGCACAGCTGGACCTGGGATAATCCAGCTCTGTGGGCGGAAGTATGTCTACCATTACTGAGGCAGTCCACAACTACTGAGGCAGACCGCCATTACTGAGGCAGACCGCCATTACCGAGGCAGTTCTAACTATACCTCTATAAACAAAACCACAAGGAAGTTTACACAGCAGCTGGGCAGAGCCCATGGCAGCTGAGCAATGCCTCTGCTGGCAGACCGTGACTAGGATACCTCCTGGCTGGGCAGGGTATCTCTGAAAAAAGGCAGAAGCACGTCAGGAACTTATAAATAAAGCCCCACATTGCTGGGACAGAACACCTGTGAGAAAAAGGCAGTTATGAGTTCTGCTGCAGGAGACTTAACTGTACCTGCCCAGCAGCTCTGAACGCAACAATGGAGCTCACAGCTCAGCACTTGAGCTCTTATAAGGGGCAGACTGTCTCCTCAAGCAGCTCCCCAACCCCCATATATCCAAAGAGACACCTCATAAAGGAGAGCTCAGGCTGTCATCTGGCAGGTATCATTCTGGGATAAAGATAACAAAAGAAGAAACTGGCAGCAACCCCT